ATTGGATCGCAGAGAGACACGGGGTTGGCTGAGACCAGGTGGCCCAACATGTCTGCGCCCTAATCCGACGCCACACCACATTGGCTACGTACAAGGGCGCAGACATATTGGGCCACGACGGCCTCAGCTAATCCTCTGTCTCTACATTTGAGTGGCCTGTGTGGAAGGAATGCGGCCAACCGCAGACGCTTATGAGAGCAACAGCGTAGCCAGCGTGGTGGACTCCCATGAACGGCGCCTGACGTATGGTTCTGGCTTGTGATTGTCCAATAGAACCTTGCCTGTTGTACCAGGCTTCTTCATACTTGGGCTCAAATATTCTACAGTTATCACTCAGGGGCTAGTCGATATTGTGGATACAACCTTTTCGTCCGATCGAATATCTCAAGTGTGAGATGAGTCGTGGCGGTTGGTCGTCGCTGAGAGGCGACTGATTGATGATTTGGCGTCGTTGGGATACTTTCGAGATGATTTGATGCTGATTGTGTCTATTTCTATTGTTACTTAAACACGTTAAGTAGCCATGCCTAATTATTTTGCCCAACTCATGCATCCCAAATATTTTAAACTTTAAATTCTTTTTTCGACCAACGTAGCATTTCAATCTATAAGCTACATGTATCGCTGGATTGCTTTTGACGATGTAGCAAGTGTTTTGATTTAATTTAGCCGCGTCGATTCCGCAGCCGGAGCCCACCAATGAGGCTGAAGCGCCTGATTTGAACCCGACTGCCGTTAACCAATCACCTCCTGACAAATGTGACCTGACTGAACATGGTGCCGCGAACACCTCTTGCGACGGTATGTATTAGCGCGCATTCAACCCTCACACTTTCAAAGCAAATCGGGCTCTAACTCTGCTGATGCCTACTACCCACGTAACAGGCACCTTAACATAGTTCTTGTGTCCACGAGAATTGACGTCGTCGCTCAGATTATTCGGTACGAGGGATTTCTGTTTCCAAAAAGCGTTGCCATAGAATTAGGCTTTTCGACAGGAAAAGTAAAGCATAACCTCAACGTTCGCAGCATTGATCTCTCTGGCCGCCTGAAGTAAAGCAGAGGTAGCCGCTCGTTTTCGTTGTAGCCGATTTCATCCTAGTAGTTCGCTATTAAATGGAGTACCTGCTGCCTTGGTATTCAATCATCTTTGTGGCAGTGCTGGAAGGCCACGAACGTCGACACACAAAGTCAGTAACTGGCACCATGAGTCATCGGGAAGGGTCATTTCAGTTTTTCAAGTCCTCCATATGCAACGCCTCTAAGGGTTGATGGTCTCTATTTGAATTCCACTTGGAGTGGGCTCTAAGTCTGTAAGGTTTCGCAGATCGAGTCAGCATTCTAGATCTGGCGGCGGTAAACAGTTGATTTTTCTCCTAGCAGATGATGAGGCTGATGTTGTGACACCTTAGTTTAAAAACTGGGAACCAGTTACGTTTATTGTGAGCCCCAGCATGTGGTCTTGAACCACGCCGGGGCCACGGAACTAACCCTGGCCCGATTGCTTTTCCCTGATACCCACGATGAAGAAAACGACCGCAGAGGTCGTGGACACAGCCGTTTACTTCGGTGCTCAACCACGTTGTGTCATGTGTGGGGTTTGTGCGTGTGCATTTATACCTCAGATGTGCGAGTCGTACAGGCACTAACATCGAGACCCAGGTGTGAGATTAATCCAGGATAAATATTCGTGTGAATAAGGGGAGAGTTGAGGAACGGCGCGGCTGTCGACATGCTTCGAAAAGGGGAACCCTGTGTCGGAGGGTGGAGCGACCGTGTTAGGGGCTGTGAATAAACACGATTCACTACAGGTTATGCTCAAGCCCTACACACCCTACCCGTTTCTACAGGGTCACTAGTGGTAATATTTTTTCCTGTCCCCTGCAAAATTTATTTAAAAAAAACTGCCAAGTATTAGAGCTAATGTCTGCACTACGGTTTGACCGTTGGCTTCAGAGACGTCAGGCGGTCGCCTAGTTACTGAGGTGGAACACCAGTCAATCGAGGAGTTCTTCAACACCTTCAAGCCCTCCGCCGTAGCTCGGGCTACTTCAGTGTCTCTGGAAGGCTCGTCTAGAGACGGCGACGCTGTCGGCGACGACGACCCCTACCTCGAGTCCATCCTCGATCGGATAAAGGAGCAGTTGATGCTGAAGTCTGCGACCAAGGAGGAGGTGGCTGTGCGGCGACAGCAGTGGCGCGAGTTGGCCATTAAACTGCAGGGTGTCAAACACTGGGAGGGATTCAGCCAGGTCTTTATGGTCTCTTCAGCTACCGGCGAGGGGATTGACAATTTGCGAGTAAGCATTGCCGGCGCTTTCATTGATCCGGACGCCTAGATGCCCTCATTACTTGGGTCCTCTTTGTTCACTCCATTTCGTAGAACTACCTTCTGGAACGAGCCAAACCAGGCAAGCAGTGGCTTCTCTCTCCGGCCCTCATAACCGACCAGGAGCCTTCAGAGCTGATTCGGATGTGCGTCTGGGCGCATTGTCTAGACCTATTGCCGCAAGAAGTACCCTACGGTCTGGTTATCACCGTGGACGAGTGTGAACGTGTTCGGTTGGCGTCTGAAGGCGACGACCGCATCTACGTGCACGCTCGCATCCGCTGTCCAAATGAGCGGTCAATTGTACGTTCTACTTAACTCTTTTAAGTAGCTGTGTTTATTAAACTGATAATCTTTTCACTCCACACAGAAAAATGTCATTGGTCCTGGCGGCTCGACTATCCGTTCGATAGCAAGCGCAGCGAAACAGGAACTCAGTAGTATGTTTCAAGCACCTACAGTCGTCAAGCTGACTGCCGAGGCTGTTCGTCCCTCGCAGAAGTCAATGCGTCGAATGCGTGCTGCCAAGGACTTTGCCGAGGTGTTTCCCAACTTTGGTGTGGAAACGCGCTCGCCAGGACTTGAAGTAGCCGAAGCCTAGAATTTTGTACCTTATTTATTCTTTTTTATAATCTACATGCAGTCTTACCTTGCCGTCTCTCGACTTGCTGATTGGTGGTTCTTAAAGTGTGTGGTTCCGTGTTTTTAAACGATTACTGGGGTGTTGAGGTTGCAAATTTTGGGAGACATCGCTAATCGAGTGAATCCTATCTGTAAATATCGTATTTTAGTGGGTATTAAGTGCATCTACAGTGTCTCGCGTTGATTAGGAGGCCCAGGTATATCCCTTCTCATTCCTACAATTCTCATTGGCTTCTCAATACACCAATTAACAAATAGTTGAGTTGGGAGTTGATGTGTGACTTCCTAGCTTGAGATTCCCGGACAGTGTGTATTTTTGGGGGTTCGAAGTTCGTTTATGTGGCTGCATGTTGATTAAGCGGTTCCTTCTCACTTCTACGATTCTCATTGGCTTCCCGACTCGCCAATTAGCAAATAGTTCAGCGGATGGCCGTCTGATTTCCCAAGCTAGATTTTTGCCGCTTACAATTTGATTCCCTATGGAAGAGCTAATGAGGTGGATGCAGAATTTGTGTTCTTCACTCGAGGGACCCTCAATTAGTCCATCCAGACGTGCAAATTAATTAATGGAAGTCGCCTAATTAAAGTCCATCCTGGTTCTTCCTGTTTTTCCCTGATTGGTTAACAAATTTTACACCTCGTAGGTTTGGTGGTATGCCTTATAACGGCACGATTTCAACGCTCGTTTAACCTCTTGGCTCAAATAAGAACGTGGTGTTGGACGGCCTTGGAGATTTCTGGGAAAACCATTTATGGGGTGGCTCAGCCTTATTGTGTTGTGCAACGCGCCTACCGAGTGGGGATCTAAATAGGGAGATGACCGTTAGCCCGTCCCTCTTAGATAGCCACACCATCATGGTTAGCTACCGGGCACACGATAGAAGAATAGCTGGAAGAACCGGATGTATTCCATACCACCGCATACAAACTCAGAGGTCTAGAGCCTAGGAGCAGTTAGAGTGGGGAAAGGAATGGCCGCGAGGAGGGTTGGTGTTGCCCTCGGACTCACGGTCGTGCCTTGAGGAAGGCGAGAGTGCAGGAAGGAGGAGGAGGACAAGGAACAGGCCAGACCGGCGTGCGTGGGACGAATGGCGCGCGTCACAGTTGTCATACTTGAATGCGTGTTCAAGGTCGTGCATGACTAATGAAATTGTTGATTTTGAGAAAAGTATAAATGCCAGATGAATGAAACAGGTGGTGGGCTGGGTGAGCAGAGAGTTCCCCAGCTTGACAGATGGGCATGCCGTGGAAAGGGGATCAGTGCGTCGGATATTACGACACCCGGGTAAATGGACATGAATCAACAGGACGCACCGCAGCGGCACAAGCGTAGTCTAAGTATCCCCTGTCCTACGTCCATCGCTAGTGCTGGAAATGTTCTCCTGCCTCGGTTTTTTGAAAGAATTCGCGCTTGAGTGTTAGGTTTTTGTTTTGACGTGATCGCAGCTGAGACGTCATTTGTTAAAGTTCCGGTGTGCGTCTCGAAGCCACACCGTTGAGTGGCAAATCTGATTGGTCAACTTGCTCCTCGCAATTTCCCGGCAAGTTTAAGTTGACCGTGAACAAACCCATAATTAGGGAAGAAATGCAACCAAATTATCTTGCAAACGCAAGCACCCAATGTTAGAATAATCATTTAACTCATTTTTCTGTCACCGACAAAAATTTTACTCGCTGTTGAAGCTTGACAAACTGTTATGTCTATTCAGATGTGCCGTTGATAGTGTCGCCTTTTGTAATTGGTTCGACGCTTCATCCAATGGCACCAAATCGACTCAAGATTGAGGCAACTTTTCAGTAGGAATCTGGGAAGCCCCGCTACAGTCCGTGATTGGAAAGTATTAAGCGAATTCATTCGGATAATGTCGTGCAACAGGCAGAGAATACAACCCGAGCCGCGCTTTTTTTATAGTAAAAGAGGTTTCACATCGAACATTTGCTGGCATAACCTGTCAGACTTGATGCTTCAATCATTGCTGCTTCGTTTTTTTGTCACATTTGCTGGACTCCAAAACGCAGGTTCCTTTTCTAACCGCAGTACATGACTTACCAAGTCCAAGACAAGGACGTGATTTCGTGAAGTGGGATCTTTTTACTGTCATGGCCAAAGGCAAAATGTAGGGGACGAAGGTGGCAGATGAATTAGGAGGGGTTAGCATTATTGGAGATAGTGTTGCAGTAGTAGCTTTGTCGTGATTACTCTTTGGTCACGTGAACGAAGGTCGTGCAATCTCCCCATATAAAGATACTTCTATTCATCATTTGCCGCAGATTTCGCTCTTTCGCTTCCACGCCTCCAAACTCTTTCTCCCATTGTGACGTCAACGACAAGTCATTTTTATCTCCAGTTGTTTATGCACACTCCTTAATCCGGTCGCTCCATCCTCCGATAGCGAGTTCCCCTTCTCGCTGCATGTCGCCAGCCGCGCGAATCCTCAACTCCCCCTTCATTAGCACGAATAATTATCTTGGAGTATCCCCACACCTAGGTCTTGATGTTAGCACATGTATGACTCACACATCCGAGGTATAAATACACGTGCAAACCCCACACACGACACAGCGACACCAACGCGGTTGAGCTCCGAAGTAAACGGTAGTGTCCACGTCCCCTCCTGTCTTTTTCTTCATCGCGGGTATTAGGCAAGCGTAATCGAGCCAGGGTTAATTCCGCGGCCCCCGCGTGGTTCAAGATTACATGATGGGATCCCCAACAATTCAATGCATTGGGAGATTGCGCAGAGCTAAATTTGCTATTTCAAAGTCAAATAATCATCCTACGGGAAAAACTCAATTTAGATAAACCCATTATTACACATCTTGACGAAAATGCAACTTCTTATTCCACGTTTTTGATATTTTCCTTGCATAGACATTAATGTAAATGATTGTTTTTGTGATAATGTCGACCCTTGACAGCCTCTTGATAACCACCAGCTATTAATTTGATTACAAAACAGATCGGTACAGGAAAAATTACACATAAATAGTTCCACAATTTGCCAATAGATGGTTGCCATGCTACCTATTTACGATTTTGTAATGATGATCAGTTTGCTGTTGCATCACCATGCTCGATACAGCATTACACAGGTAGCAGTTGTTATTAAAAGCATCATTTTAAACCACTACGCAGTTTGATTAAACCAAGTCGATTGTCTGGATACTGCTGAATTCGTTGGCTGCTCGCAAATGTATGAGTTCTGTAATTTGGTGCCTCAAAAATTCCAGCCGGCCGTATTGCTACTCGCCCACTTGACTACACGCTTTGTGTTAGCAGAACCAGAATCAAATTAGTCGGCAATTGTCATTGTGTGTAACCTCATCGCAGGAGTTTGAATAACTCATGGTTTTCCTTAGTAAGTCTGAAATACACGTTGCCTCATTTATTGAGTCGTTTACCGTTTTGGTAGCGTAACTCACGGCCTCACCTAGCAGTGTCTTTCTAATTATGTAAAAGTAGGTAAATACATCTTATGGCACTTTTGAATATAAGAAAAATGTTATATTTACTTCCCGGTCACTTAAATCCAGTTGAGATGGCTGCCAGAATTGGTTAGAAGTATTTTAACCACCTGCATTAAAGGGTTCATCCATGGTCATTGTTACGTTTGTCCGTAACAATGGAGAAGACCACTCAAATAACGGTACCAGATCCCTCGCTGAAAGTTAGAACCGACCTTCCCAGGCTAATACCAGAACAAGACCAGAGCTCGTGGAGAGAGCTTTATTCACGTCAGCCACGTGCAGAGAAGAGGTGAAATCGAAAGTGATTCATGTCAAGGTTGACCTTGACTTGATAAAAGCATAGCAAAACAAATGTCGATAAATTAATGTAAATAGAACTAGAAACCAATCTTGGGGAATCGTGGATCCCCAACAGTCTTATACAAGAGACTCTAGTTTACGTCGTCGCACTAAATGCATGACGTGAATCACAAGACATGCTCGTAGAAACAATTGTGAATTAAACATGTCCACACCACTTACTATGTGGTTTTTTTTCATATTGGGTCTTAATATGCACACTTTTCCATCGTAGCAGAACGTTATTATATTCAAACTGTGCGTATATGCTATTAACCATGGGATGAATGGTGACATTAGGCTTCAATAAAGGAAAATTCAAACAAAATTTTGCAATTCCAACGTGTCGAATATCTGCTTACATAACGTTCACGTTAACGAGTTAAACAATTGCTCATAGTCTACAATTATCAAATCATAATTCCGGTAAACACGAAATTAAAATGCCCCGCACAATCGACCAATCGCGTCTGGCTTCTGTCCCAAGAGATATATGGTGATTTGTTTAGAAAAAGTATTTAAATCACAACTATCACATCAGTCTGTCCGCTTTCCTTAAAATGTCCTCGCACATAAATGGGATCTAACAAGTTCGCGATCGACTCGATTCTAAGCAATGACTTCCCGAAGGCACCCAGGGATGCGGCTAAGCCAGAATTAGACGCACAATGCACTACTGAGTGGAACTGTGAGGAGGGAAGTCACTTTCAACGATCCCGCCGCAGAGTCCACATAAACAGGGAAACTTCTCGCGAACTTCTACAAAATTTTCGGCGAAATAGAACCACATTTACAACGCTCCAACTGCACGAGCTTGAGAAGGCCTTTGAAATTAACCACTATCCTGATTTTTTCAACAGGGAGAATTTGGCAGCCAAAATCAGCCTACCGGAATTAAGGATTCAGGTAGGAGTTCTTTATCTTGACCTAGAATTCGCATACCGTCTTAAATTACCATAGATTTGGCTCTCTTAGTGACAGCTTACTCGAAAGCAGTTTAAGCGTACTCAAGGTAACTTTATTCCTTTAGCAAGGCGAAGGTGGAAGATATGTCCACATTTCACGTAGCACTATAATTAACTGCTGCAACGAAAGAAAGCCCAACTGAAAATCTAGGTTGTTTTAATAAATACACGTGCGAATGGAAAAGTTTGGTTTCGTGTGAAAAAAATTTAGCCTTCGAGAAACGATTTTGGGGTAAAAAATATACAGCTAGTCGTTTTTCTATCACTGGACGCTAATATCTTGTCAAATGTTCGAATGTAAACGCTTGGATAAATTTCTGATTGATGTTCTCGCAAAAAACGTTGCGGCAGATTCCAGCATCTGCCACGTTTACCCGTAACCATGGGAACACCTACTCAGATAACCGGTACCTAGATCCCCTGTCTGACGCTAGAATCGTCCTTCCCATGCATTGCAAGACAAGACTTCATGCAGGAGGCTTTTATCGTCTCAGCCGAAGACCCAGTAATCCTTCAGAATGTCAACACTTACGGGGAGTCATGATTGACCTTGGATAAATGCAGATGGCGTCGTCGGTAGGGCGTCCGGGGGTGATACCCGCTAACACAGCCTGGCTAAGGGATTGGTGTAAAAACTGGCGAAAACCGGCGATGAGCCATCATGGAGAATCCCTGATCCCCATCGGTGCCTTTCACAACCAATTGGAATAAAGCGTAACTTCAATTTGTACAATGTAGAGTCCACATTTTCGAAATTGGCGCGAATCCTTATTATGAATTTCAGTCAACACTAAGAACATGTGGCAATAGTTAAGTGCCAGAATATTGGATTAAGTTAGAAAGTTTTAACTTAATTTGCATGCTGATGGCGCCATTATGCGTCCGGTGATGAAACCCACGACTCAAATCAAGCCACAGTCTAAATAACTTCAAACACTGGACAGTGCGTTGCCCTCCGTTTGAATTATTCTAGTTGATGGTTTCTGTGTGCATGGCATATCGTAACTGGGAAAAAAGTTTGCTTAGTTCGTGAGTTTTTAGTTTGGAGATTTTATCCAAAAATGTTATTTGCTTAAGGGACGCAAAATGCACTGAATGTCGGGGTTCCCCGATCCCAATTTTGAAGGATTTCACGATGAATCTATAGGCTATATACCAGTAGATGACAACCAAACAGGTGATGGTCAATGCCTAGAAAATTTTCGTATTTCAAGGTAATACCTAACAAAATTTAGTTGCAAAATAGAAATTCACATGCTGAAATCCATAAGTAGTGTAACGCATTATCTTCTAAAATGCTCAAAAGGTCTGCTTCGAAACGACATCTGAAACTAGAAGAGAACCTCAAGTCAACGAGTACCGAGTGAAACTAATTCAGTGGAAGCCTTGGTCAGAGCCTTTTCTCGCTGTGAAAACACCTCGTATTTCGTCTACCGCGATCATTTATTCAGAACAACTTCTACTAAGGTTCGTCCGACATAAGTCGATCTTTTTTCGAGTCTGTACCCTGTGAGTCTTAGCGAGGAACTGAGGCTGTGTTCCCGAGGAACTACTTCAAGCAGAACACCGAAAAATCATGCTATTATGAATATAATTCCAATGTGAGCAGTCAAAAAAGTAAACCCGGTTAGCAAACGATTGCCAAGTAAGGTTACCTAAGTGACAACGGCACATATTCAAGATTTACTAGGTTTGGCTTACTTGATGAGTCGGACGAAATGTGATAATCGACTCACAGAAAATTCGCTTTAGAAAGCAGGGCTCAGTGTAAAGGCTTAACCAATGAGCGTAGAGGTTTTGATTCGAATGACAAAGGCTTGTGGTATTCGTTTTGAAAGCATTTGCTCACCTACTACTGGTCTTTGTAGGAATCGTACGGGGATGCGTGAATTAATCATGTAGTCCTGAATGGACACAATTCTTTTCCATCAACTCCTGAAAGGTATCTGTGACCTCGCAGATACGAATACCATTTAACTGAAGTGGTTTCCGACTGCATAAATGCCTCACCCCTTTGTTATTGGCTCTAGTTAGCAGTCACCTGTTACGACGCACGCGTGTCCAAGTCCACCCACCTACACTTTTGTCCTGTTTGACATCATTATTAGTGAGCCATTGGCAAGTATTCGAAAATCTTATTATGCACCCTGTACACGTTCGATATAAAATATCAATTACGCGTGTTGCAACTCCACACTGATCGATATCAGGCCCATATTGATGGGTTCACTTGAGTTGGACAAATTAATGTCCGACCAAATGCAGAACAAATTACCATAACGATTTTATTAGCAGCCTATGTTACCATGGCAAATTAAACTCATACCTAAGGTGAATCAGAGTAAAGAGCTTGAATAACACTTCAAAATACAGGTTCATTTCATGCCTCTGTTCTCTGCTTATGTTTGTACTAAATATTATTTTTCCAGGTAGGGGAAATTCATAGTTGTTATCTTGGCGAACAATATTGAAACACGTTTTCAGTGCAACAAGCAATCAAATCAGTGCATTTCAAACCACGTTGAAGAAATCTTGTAACAAATAACCTTGGCTGACGATGTACAAAGTGATGATTCTTGTAAAGCCGGTGTAGGGCCTAAATTAACACTACCACAGAACCCAATGGGTAACAGCCGGTCACAACCCAAGAAGGGGGAAGACAAAGTCGACAGAGAACACGACCGTTTATTCGCGTCACGCCAGTCGAGTCGCGTAAAATCGAATAACTAACTTCTGTGTGCGTATCGACACGCGTGCGTCGTAACAGGTGACTGCTGACAAGAGCCAATAACAAAGGGGTGAGTCATTGATACGGTCGGGCAAACACACGCGCGGTGGCCATCGATCGATATTCACGGAAAAAAATCGATTGATCTGTGTTCGCTCACGACTGCTAACTGTGCTGGCTTACTGGTCGCCACACAGATTTTAAACCGCGGCCAAATAAGATGCAGTAATGAGCTTAACTATTCCACTGTCCGTCTATTCAAAATGACCTGTAGGTAAGTCTTCTTCCAGGACAAGCGAATCGATTGCGTACGTCTTGCTGACGGGTGTGAATTTCTTGCAGATATGGTTCCAAAATCGACGAGCAAAGTGGCGACGCCAAGAACGCTTCGAAGAAATGCAACACGCTCGGAACCTCTGTGAGACCTTCCCGATCCCCAAAACCGAAGCCTGCTCCACGACGTTCTTTGAAGAGTGTGGAAACAAGAGCACGACAAAGGCCTCTCCTCATGCCTGCTCTGAAGGCGCCCCATCCATCGCAGTGAATGGTACTCTCCTGCTACCCATCAACGCGATCATCGAAACGCACGATTCTGGTCCATTCTGTAACAACGACTGAAGCTATTCTTTGAAAATTAACTCATACACACACTTCCGCACAGTTAATCAAACGACGTGGCAATTGAGACAGTATGTGATGACGAGATTAAAGGCACGTCAATCTGGTTAGTTAGAACGATAACCGTGGGTAGATTTCATGGTAACAAGGAAAATTCAAAGACGAGCTAGACAGTAAAAATTACTCCACGACATCTTTCTAGGTCAAAGGCCAGCTGCATTGTACCGGGAACTATCAGGAGAGCTTGGCGGACTGTTAAGAAATTGTTCTTCACTTAAACAAGACCATATTTTAAAACCGACCTAAATGGGCTAAGCAGAAAAGGCGTAATTTCCACACCGAATTCGGTTCAGACCAGACAAGTACAAATCCATCTTGTGTCAAGCAAAATTAAATTAGATTCGGGGGCCCGGAACTAGATTCGCATCAGGAGTCACTGGGTAAGGTTCAAATCTCCCAAGTCATCGCGGGATTAAACTTGAGTGATGCGTTTCGATGGGGTCAGTTGCGTACGCTTCAGGATCGCCGCCTTTAACTGGTTGCAAGGAAAGACGTTGTCGGAGTGAAGCAGTACGTCTGAAACTTCGTTGGCCAGTTCGCTACTCAGAGTAGAGACGAGGTGAGGGTATGTAGCATGTTGGCTTACAAAGTTAGCGCCACGAAATTACGTTTCCAAAACGGCGAATTCAGGCAGAATGGAAGTTGTTTTAGGCTGATCCCTTCTAGGGTAATCGAAAGCTTGCTTTCTTGATGGTCCATGTTGGGGTCACCAACTTGTAGCGGCTGAGTTTAGCACTACCGTACAACCCTATAGCTAACAGCCGGTCACGACCCGAGAAAAGAGAAGACAGAGTCGACAGGGAACACGACCGTTTATTTACGTCACGCCAGTCAAGTCGAGTCGTGTAAAATCGAGTCAGTAACTTCGGTGCGCGTATCGATTCGCGTGCGTTACAGGCGACTGCTAACAGAAAACCAATAACGAAGGGGGTGAGTCATTGATCCAGTCGGGCAAGCATACACGCTGCACTCACGCGCGATGGCTGTCTGTCCAATACAGTGTATTCACGGTAAAAATCGATTGATTTTCGTTCGCTCACAAATGCTAACTGTGCTGGCTTGCCGGTCGCCACAGGTTTAATCATCGAAAACTCATTGAAACGTAACATTTATGAGGCTACATCAAAACGGATGCGCTTACTTGGGGTATATGCTTTGTCCCATTTCAACAATGGTAGATTTCGAATGTTTAAAGAGCTGAAGCCAGCTTGGATGGAAAAAGCGCTTCGGAAGATGCGCTCCGCTGTCGTTGAAATGTATGGGTTCGAAAGCACAAAAGGAAGGCATTCAATCCAATTAAAAAGTATCCTCAAATTGAAGCTACTTGTGAATGGGGAGCTCAAATGGGAGAGCGTTTTGTTTAGTGCGGAAAATTTGGAAATCTGCCATTGGCCGTGGTGCACGCATCACTCACGCGCGGTGGCTGTCTGTCCACTACAGTGCATTCACGAAAAATCGATTGAATTGTGTACGCTCACATTTGCAAGCTGTGCTAACTGTGCTGGCTTGCTGCTCGCCTCATATCCAAAATAAAAAGTACAAAGTCATTTTCCGCCATGCTATGTAATTTGTATTGAAGCACGACGTGAGTTTTGGAACTGAAACAGGATATTCAATGCATTTGTACTTTTGCTCGAAGGCCACTCACAGATAGTTTGTTTGATTTCGAAAAGTTTAAACGCCAGACTTCGCTCTGGGTGAACTGCCAGTATTGATTATAACTTACTTATTGATTAGGTGGATGTTAATCTGCGCATTACTGCATTTCGTCATTTAAAGCAACTTGCATTTGTACACAAACTCGATGCGTGGATTCTACACATTTTGACAGAATGACACCTAGTGAATCGTGTTTCCACAGCTATTTCTCCTCACCCGTCAAAAAAACAAACTTTTCTCGGATCTTGTCAGAAGTGAGAACGAAAAAAGTTCGTGTATGACAAAATAACACAAATGACGTGGAAGAGTTTAATCTGCGGCAAAGTTTGACCTGCTACATTTGATTGTGGATGAATAATTTTGAGGCTAATCGCATATTTCAATTCTGAGTTTAGAGGAACTGTCAAAGACTAGGCTAATAATCAGCATTGTTTTCACCATGGCAACACAAGGCAATTTAGTGTTCCAGTCACTGCGAAATCCTGTGAACTTGAAATTTCGAAATAAAATAGTGTGGCGATGGATCAGGCCGCAGACATATTAAACCAGCTGGGCTCAGCCAATCCCGTGTCTCTCTGCGTTCAAATAGCATACGAGGAAGATAAGCAGCCAACCAGAGAAGGACACGACTGAGGTGCAGTACATAATGAGTGGTGGACTCGGATGGAAGGCGCCTGACGTGTTGCTCTGGCTTCTGATTGGTAAATAAAGCCGGTCCGTTGTACCAGTCTTATTCCTATTAGGGCTCGGGTATTCTACAATAGCACCCGTTACGCAGAAAAATCGCACACTCATGGACCAATAGGAAGAAGGCGGGGAATATGAATACGCAAATTGGTGTGCGCAAACACGTTAGATAATAGAAAATTGTGAATATCTTGAAAGATATAATCTTGGCAATGCTGAATCTCCAACAATACCATAGACGGTATTTATACGAGCGTCCACAAACTTGCCAAGTTGATGCACTCCAAGCAATTTGGCTGAAATTTAGTTAAGGCAACGCCATGTAGCGAGGTAATACATCAGTATTACTGTAACCACATGGTTTAAAATAGCATGGATGTAAGTGGCGTAAACCATGATTAAACCATTGTGTCTACAATTGAATCGATTTAGGCGCCAATATTCACCTCATGCGGATTGAAATAATATAATAAGTGTTCACAGGTTGCGTCATCCAATGGTGATTGCACGCCACTCCAAAAACCTTTTTAAGTACTCAGAGATGTCACCACAGGGCCAAGGAAAATCCTCCAGCAAGAAAATCTTAAATTCCACGTAGTGAAAACTACTTGATCAGTCCAAAATGTCAGATTTTGGTGCCTTTGGATGTGAGTAAAGAGTTATTTACTGTGAACAAATGGCGACCAGAAACACGGGTATTCGATTTGACTGCGCCTCGATTTGCTATCGAATTTTCCATTAATATGGTGTACTACGTTAATAATTCAAACTGCAACTTCTATGTTGGATAGACGAGACGAGGCTGGTCGTTCTGCTGCTGCTGCTGCAGCAACAATTAGCACCAGACAACGAAATTCAATGCCTTCAGATGTAGATTCTTCTGGCATTACTACCGTCTTTATGGTAGCCATGTTTCATTTTAATAGACTATTTGATGCAAACATTGATGCACGGTAAAATTAACCCTTGTCGACGACTGGACATTGGTAGAGGCGCGTAAGCGACGCAGTGATTGCACACGTTTACAGCCCTGCTTTAAGCAATAGCAAAGTGGAAGGGATGATTTGTGAGAAGGAGAGCACGTAAGAATTCACATATTACAACTAACACGGATACAGAATCGTAAATTCGATCAACACCAATAAGGACTCTGATACGCTGAATTCCATTTGCGGTCTTCCAAAACAACGACTAATATTACAACGGTAAGCAGAGTTAACAGTAAATGCAAACATCAAATGCGGTAAAATACCACTAGTTGTGACTTTGCATAGTGTTCCAACAATACCATTGCAGTAAAACAAAGCGTTGCACGAAAATAACATGACAGATGTTCCACCTGTCGTCGTGGAAGTGCTGACCACTTTGGACAATAAGGACTAAGTCAAGGAAGCCGGGCATAGGTATAATTGGTTGCGAGGCGAGTATTCATTTCTGACAGTTAACCTATATCTGGATAAGTGTGTTGTTGTGGCAATTTAAAACTCATGCAGTGTTTTGGTCAAGTCCAGAGTTCACCTGTCAAGGCAAACGGCGTTATCACAAATATCTTGAACCAATCATCTGTTAAACTGTCAACGCGAGGCCCTTCGCATAAAATGTCTCGGTCAAATTATTTGATGACAGTGTTTAGTCTCGTGTGTCCGTGTAGCTCTTGACATCTTGGTTTATCCGTAGTTAGGCTAATGCCTCGGAGACAGCTGCCCTCGACGATAATAATGATGCAGGTTGTTACGGCGACGCTGAGGAAATGCCATATTCGTGTGCCCCTGATTTATTTCCACGGGTCTCTGCATCATTCATCCCAACTGATTCTGCTGCCTTGTTTGGCGGCTTTTTACCATTCGAAACACGGATTTACTCCTGTGATCGTTGGCAGTCATGTGATACTGTGTGATCACCTCAATCGACATTTGCGAGCACAGTTCCCCTTCTCAATTATTTGCAATGACAATACTGGCTCTAAGAAAAAAACCGATATTGATTTCGATGCTGTCCTTGTAAAATTTCACTTTCTGGTTGGCAAAGTTGGCTCAATTTAGTCAAGTCGATCGATTATCAATAATACGTATACGTCAAAACATTCGTTTTACTTTGACATCAAGAGTTACATGTGTGCGGAAGAGGCGAACTTGCACCTCAATTTACCATTTGTGAGCACTGTCAATGACGGCCTCGACAAATCAGACTTGATTTGTTAGATGGCCGGCGAATGTCGCCTTGTCCATGTGTCTATTACACTGAAACGGATGAACTTGAAGGACCAGCACACGCAATGGTTGAAATGAATCAAAATTTTACCACATTAATTTCATTTGTTCGCAAGTTGGGAGCACTGCCTTGGTTGCATTGAGGACTTGTTCATGCTCGAGCGCGACTTCGGTGGAGATAATGGTTCCATTATATCAAACGACCAGTTTGTCAGCTTACACACAGACTGATTCCCATATACGTGGAGATAGTCTTGATGAACCACCTTATAGACATCTAACTGCATCACGGATAGTTCAAATTGACTAAATCTGTTGAACGGAAGCAGTGGTCTGTACTGCCAAAGTGGCAAAAGAAGACATGGGTCAAAGCGCCTTTTGGCACAGCTTGAAATGCTCTGTAACCGATTGACGCATTTCCGTGGAACTAACCCCACTATGTCAAGCGCCCTAACGCATCTGTGACAGGCACGATAAGAGCTAACTCCACTTTCGTCGAATTGAGCGACTTTGTGTCCAAGAATTGAATTTTCGATCTACAGCCGGCCAAGCTCAGTGTTCGAAGTGCTGGCTCCTTCACCAAGTGTAGACATGATTAGGCAAAATCTGGAATATTTTAAACTGGTTATTGGAGCAGTGGTACAGCCACAAGCAAGTGTTTCGTTCCATGTGAAACCGTAAAACTTCAGTAAAATAAAAGACTCGTGACCTCGGTTTTCAATCACCGATGTTCATACGGGAACAAGAAATAGCTGATGGCAAAATGCCTTAGCAGATATAACTGAGCACGTCCTTAAAAATTGGCAAACTTCTGAACCGCTATGCAAACAGTCTGGTGAAAACAGCACCACCAGCTGAATGTGGAGCGTCCGACATCAGAAACCGAGTGGCGTTTAGGCGTCGATCAGTGGACACAACCACTTCATCAAAGTTGCTAATGTCACCTTGGAAACGCTTTGTCGGAAGATCCATCTGAATTAGACGCTACGAGCTACCTTCAATGAGGTATACACAAGTTTCGACATCAATTTCTAGACAGCCACCACCACGGTGCAAAACCATCCATGACAAGACATTTCGGACAGATCACCCTGAACATTTGCAATGTTTGTCGGCAGTCTTCATTCAACTGTGATTTTATAGTGATGAGACTAACTTGCACAGGTGTCAAGACACCCCGTGGTGGAGCTCCAGCCATCTAGTGGGAGTGGTGTGTGCCTGCAGGCGAAATTGTACTAATGATTCACTTCTATTTTATTGATTACTGTTAGCAGCCACCTGTAACGCACGTGTACTCATCCGCACGCAGACACTTGACTGGCGTGACGCTAATAAACGGTCGTGTTCGTCGTCACCTGTCTTTACTTTGTTCTTGGGTTGTTACTGGCCCTTAACCAACAAGCACTACAAACCCATCACTAATTACATGGATTGTATTTAAAATACGTAAATCTGAGTGATCAGGAATTGCAAAAGTCTCAAAACAGGTCACGTAGGGGAAGGACGAGCAAAGCTGAGCGAGTCATTCAGGGAATCTCATCTGCAACGTACAGCGACGGCATGCGGACCATGTCACGGTTGATGGCGAGGTGTGCATCGATGACGCGCGATGCTAGTGCCTCGTCACCGAGACGACGACAAGCCCTGACTACCTGATTTAGCAACTCAGCTAGTCGCTGGAAGGCTCGAAGCAGGTGGCCCTCTGCGACGCCGGTCATGCGGACAATGACGGAAAATGGCTGACCACAAGCCCAGGCGTAAGTGGCCCCCACGAGATTCGGACTCACGTCTGCGTCAAGCACCTCATCCCAAATGCCATGTTTTTCTTGCACTCGCAATATCTAGAATCCAAGCGAAAAATGCAAGTCATGCTAACAAATGGCCATTTTCAGATGGAGAGGATTAGGGCGTTTGGCGTGGTCTGGCAATGCATTCTCACCCGATTCAACGTCTCCTGCATTTCTTGTACAGCGGGCTTCAAGTGGTCGGGAACAGGTGGAGGGGGTGCTACCTTTACTTTCGAATCGCGGACGAAGCATGATAATAAGGCAGCCAGGTCAGCTGGTGGTTGGTGCTTCAAGGATCCAGTAAAGAGCATCTCGCACACAAGCACGCCCACCTGCTGAATTTCACAGGCTGCAACCCCTAAAGCATGACGATATACACGTTAGGGTATACTCGTGAGTACTTGCACATTGGACTCATAAACCTAAATTCATGATCTAGGCATCAATTACTTTTGACAACAGCATAAGCAGCACACAAACCTTTCCGTGTTAGGCACCGAGGTCGCGTTGACGTCGTGTCGAGAAAACCCAGCTCCTCAAGGACGGCGACTCGAGCTCCGTATTGCGTCAGCACCTTATCTCGTCGGCTCTCCAACTCCCCAGATATACACTCAATCGCTGCGAGGCGACGAAGGTTCCTGTGGACTAGGTTCAAGTGGCCAATAGGGTCCCTGCATTGAGGAGTGGCTACCAGTTTACTGCTGCTACTCAATGGACCGCTCAACTTCTTCGTCAGTGTCATCCATTCCTCCACCTCTGGACCCTGAAGTGAGAGAAACACGGTACAATGAGGAAGACTTGATAATGGCATTATTTATCAATATGGGTTGTCTTTACCCATTCAAGAGTGTTCAGTGAAAGTGAGGAGGATGAGACGTACCTGCAAGCCGAGACATTGCCACAAAGGCAGTATTACCACTTCGCCACTTAAACGCCTTTGAGCGCACTCAAATAGCGCTTTGTTGACCGCGGTAACATGAGGAAGGTCCTCTGCCTCATTCACCTCATCGTCCTCACCCACCTCAACCTCCTCGTTCATCGTTGCGCCGACGGACTCACGCAAATATTTTGACTCCCTGACGACATTTCTCACGAAGCTGCCCCTCCTGCTTCCTTTCACTCGATCACCAAAAACTGCCAGCACCGCCATGAGAGGCACGTGGGTGACATAAACAAGACGCCGTCTGCTGTCATTTTCAGACTACATGATAATAATGTCCATTAATAATGTTGGAATGCATCTTCCTTGCAACGTATGCAGTACAGGGCGTACTCTTACCTCGGGACAGTAGGCAGGCATCATTTGTGGTGGGAAAGGCGTAAATGCTCTCTTTCGTCTTGTCTACAATCCAATAAACAGTAATTACCACTTCCGAAATAAACACACAGTACCCAAGAGCACGTATTCAACCCGGCAGTTCATCCACTCAATTTACCATGGAGTCGTAAATGGGCAGTTGGTGATGTCGCAGCGTTTGCCGCGGATTGTAGCGCGTTTCCCAAAACTCAAGAATAGTCTCCTCTTCCTCGCTCTTCGCCTTCTGGGTACCACAAATCGCATCTGTGCGATCGGCCATTGGTGAAGGTGGAAGTCGCCAGGTGAGCACGGTAAGCTGCAACAAGGAATCAATAAAAGTGCCAATACGCATCAAAGTGTTCTCGATTAATCAGCAATTTACTACATAACTGACACATTTGTTGCCTATGCAAATGTGTGACTGCGGTTAAAAACGAAGATTCTTACTTTTACATCGGAGGGCGTAAATCTCTTCTGACAATCTACTTCTAGTGTAGAACTGCACATATTTAGGACCACACCCATGGTGACCCACTTAGGAAGACATTTGGAGCCAGCGACAGCATCCAGTCTTCCTCCGTATAAGTACCGTGAGGCCTCCCTAACATCATCTGTGGAGAGTTGAAGGAGAACAAGACGACCGGGTGCGAAGACTTTGCGGAGTATCCTTTTGGGCTGTTTCGCCGCTGCGACGGCGCACTCTTCAGAAAGTTGGCGCCATCGGTAGCAATCCTAGTAGCATCAAAATGTCTGATAATCCACTGGGCATGAAAACTTTAGAACCCCATTCTTCCACACAAATTCCTAACACCCTAACACCGTCCCACGTGGGAACAGACTGCTGAGTGTGTGACTATGGCAGCCCGACATCACATTCGACGGAGTAGATAATGGAGCCAGCATTAAACGCACCTGATAGTACCTCGCTACCTCTCCAATGCATGGGGCCAAGGCCGAGGCATTGCTGTCAAGAGGGTGCGCTGGACACCGAACGTGAGTGAACGAGGTAGGAATCGCGGTGTCTGAATTGCCAGTGACGACATTTGGGACCGCCGTCTCTGACACTACTGTCGAAACTATCAGGGGCTGGGATGGTGGCTTGAACACTGTCGTGAAATCGATGTTTTCTCGTAAAAATTTCTCCTCTTTTTCAAATCCGCGTTTATAGGGATCACCAGACGCAAACAAGAAACTCCGGTTGACGAGTTCCTAGTTGAGATCAGAGTTAAGGCTGATTCGTAAACATGAATATGAAATGCGTCCACCACGACGAAACTTTGCATACCTGTGGAGGCCACTGGAGGTCACCGAGATTTGTGTTGTTAAGCACCGTTGAGTATGTGACTCTGAATTGAGAATTTAACTCGGTTGCATGACTAACTAGCATCTCCGTGAGTGCAAATTTAATGCGCCCGATGCTGTTGGCCATGACGATCACCGCACCCGTGGAGTCGACGCCACGACGGCCGGCTCTGCCTGCCATCTGCAT